GATGTTTAGTTAAGTTAAGTTAAGAATAATCTTTGCCACAATTAACCACAATTTAAATCTGAAATGTTCTTTTAATTTCTTCATAGACAAAAATAGCAATCGCCTGGGGCCCCAAACCAATCTTTTATAAGAAAATATTTCTTCTAAAACATCCTTCCGAAGAAAAATGACTGAAGTCAACACTGAAATTCGGGCCCTATAATTCAAATTCGCCTGGGCCCCATAAAGTTATAACGCGCCTTTGAATTCCTTAACTGTTGTGTGCAATAAGAGGGCTTTTTGAAATTCATTGTGAATTCGGTCAGGTAGCCGCGCGGTGAAGAACGGAACCCGAAAAAAAATATTTGGGTCAGACCATTCCCGAAAAATTCGTGGAGTTTTTCGTCTCCAGATTCGATCACGGGTATCCCAGAGCAGTAGGCTAAGGCCTTAACTTCGTACTAAGGCCTTAACTTCTTTAAATCTAAAGTTTTACAACAGTTTAATGGAAATTTTTAAATAGAAAAATATATTTATTACCTATCAGTTATTATAAATGCAGTTTTTATTCACAAATTAATTATCAGCATAATTATACGCCATTAAATTCCTTTTACATAGTATATAACAAAACGTATTGAAATGTCATTTGAATAATTTAATTTACAATTTTTTTTTTATAGGAGCGGAGTCTCGTAAACAGTTTGACAACATTTTAGACAGTATCCACGTGCAAATAAATTTCATTGAGGAGAACATGAAAACGTGCTTACTTCTTCAGCGGGAGGTTTTCTACTTTCACACTTTTTCTTCCGGTTGATGTCGATGGCTACCGATATAATATCGTTACCTAAAAAGTAATCGGTGGCAACGATGTTCGAAAACTTTCCCCACATGTCTCTAAACCAATCAGTGATGTTACGATTGACAAAATCTGCCAAAACCCTTAATCCCTGATCTGGATGTTCGAGTATATACTTCATATCTGGAGTCAGTTCTGCCATTGCCGACCATAGAAAAGGTGGAACTTCAGACCTATTATAAAAGGCAGAAAAGAATTCTTTAAGGTCTTCTACCTCTAGAACATCTGGCCAGATTTGGCATAGTGATGGCCAAAGTTTTGGATCCGAAATTTTAGCCTGATTAAAAGTCACTAAAATCCGATAAGGGCTGTCCAGGATATCTCCTAGCTTCAACTTGCTCCCTTTTGGTATTAAATACGGGTTTAATTTACTTTTAATAAAATTAAGTAAGTCTACCTGAACGTTTTCATGATCCGGATGCCTGTGAAAATCTAAGATAACAATTTCTTTGGTGGTTTCAACAAAATCAAGAACGTCAGATAGAACTTCTTCCAATGTGTTTTTGGTAATGATACTACCGTGCTGTATAATAAACTGATGGTTAACACGAGCCACTCTCAAATCAAAGTAGCGAATTCCATAAGTTAACTGATTAAAAATTCTTTCTTCTTGAGCGTAAACATACCTTGATATGATTGTAACAATACCATCATCATAAGGAAAAGTAGCGTAACTACCCGAATCGTGTGTTCCTGGTATCATCAGTTCCGTTAATGACAAGTTACTTATATATTTTCGGTTCTTGTTCATCCATCTTGGTCTTGTCTTCAAGCAGTTAAGATGGGTTATCTTATCATCTGTTATGTAAGCTATATAGTAGTTCAAACAACCATCTGTAATATTATCTTTGGTGAAGTTCAAATATGGCAATTCATATTTAGTTCTATAATACCCCGTGTGTTGATTTGCCACGTAAACAATCTGAAGAGGGTTTATGTGTTCAATAGGAAGAGAATCGAACAAAGCAACTGCATCTTTAGGTTTTGGGCTTTTCACGTCCCAATTTAATTCTATCTGACGTTTTTTAATTATAGAATTCTTATCCCAAGCTAGAGATGAAACTGATAAGTAAATTTTCACATCTTCCTGAATCTTCTTGCAATCTGAAACACATTAACAATTTATTTATATTTTAAAATATTAAAAATAATTTATAAATTTATTCAGAATATAAATCAAAAACACGTTGTTAAATCCCTATAAATAGAAATATAAATAGAATTCTGTGAAGATTTTTACAATAAAATTTACAGATACAAATACATTTTTTAAGCATTAAAAATCTGGAAAATAGGATCAATAATACGCCCAGCTTATCATTATTTCTCCAACCTTTCGATATTTCCATCAATACACCTTCATTTCAGTAAATATTAATATATACTTACTGCAGAAAATCTACCGAAAAATTTGAGTTTAAATTTATGTAGAAAATTAAATTTCTAGACATATTATAATTGGCCGGAACACCCAATACATATACAGATCGACACTGGTGTTAGTTTATAAGATAAATTCATTCTTAAATTCTGTGTTACCTATATAATAGAACGTCTGCCTGTATGTTCCCTATATACTTCTAAATCAATGGACCAAAGTTTTTATAGTTATCCTCTTGGATCCTGTGGGAAATATACGCTACCATAAAACCTAGAAGTCTGCTGATTTCATCCCTTTACATCTTGTGATAATTTAATTCATTATTATGTAAGTAGTATTGCGTAATAGTTAATGAAGACACCACACGGTCCATGAATCATATTCTTAGTGATGATTTCATAGAGTAAAGGGCCTTTTTCTGGATTTGGAAGCATTGCCAAAATAATGCTGTTGATTTAAGCTGGCTTAAAATAACCAAACTTTTAATATGTCTTTAATTTTGATGTTTGTTCCAATTACTTTTTGTTTTGCTTTATCTTCTAGCGTTTTATTTATAAGTTAACCAGCAATTAGCTGTTATATATNTAAAATACGAAATTCTATACAAAAATTATTAATTTATATAATGTAATCATTGTAGAAAAATTATTTGTATATTGTATTGTATTGTACTGTAGTAAATTCTAGTAAATTTTTATATTAAGTTTCATGTAAAAACAATAAAAAAATTTCTCAATATGTTAAATTTCTCGTGAATAATATACTAGAAATTTTTCTACAATATTTTGAACATCATTTTTTTTTTTCAAACTCAAAAAAAAGAAGAGAGAAATTGGAAAAATGTCTTAAAATATTCTTTAGTTTGATATACTACTTTCTAATATTTTTCTCTTAAAAAAACCAAAAATTTTATTAAATTTTCTAGAATATATATCAATGTTGCAGCCATAATAATCGAACTTCGGGTTTAAACTGGAGTATATTTGATTCTTTTTTATAATTTTTGAGTTATAAAAGTTATTCGAAGTAATGATTAGAAAGTGATTACAGAAATAAATTGAAATTTTTACTTATCCATTCGATAACAGGATCTGGTATCGTGCAACGCAACACGACTAGTTCCTGTTATAAATGATCGTTACAGATTTTCGCTAGATTGCTTGGAAATCTTCGTTCCATCTACAAAAACCGACTGATTGATGTCGAAATGAAAATACAGTTTAGAAGAAATGGGTTTTTTCGTGATTGTTGATACTCATTCTTCCATTTTTTCTTGTTGATTCTTTATAATTTCCAGCAATATTCAAATACTTCTACTGTGAAACCTCCCCTTTACTAGAAATATATTCAAATTATATTGCTTCCTACTACAAAATCGAATATAATTTTAATACTTTCATACACAAGAATCTAATTTCGATCGCTCTTTATCCACTTAAACTCGGTATTCAATGGCGAGTAACGCAGTGTAATCCTATTGATTTTGTGTCCTTTCGAGCGAATTGGTAGTAAAAATTGGTAATTTTTCGGTCTTTTATCGCATTCAATGCTACGAATTTTAGCTTGGACGTGAACTAAATATATTACATGTTTGATTAATTGTGAATTTTACATGTTGTAACGTCTACAAGTCTGCTTCAGTAGCTATAAACAATACAGCGTGTTAATTACTGCACACGTATTATATGGCTATTCTTTGAATAATAAACTTCCACAAGCTTACGGGGAATTATAAAAAAAATTTATTTTTTAAGAAAATAATTCCATATTTTTAATAATTTATTTATCAGGGGGCATAGTAAATCTTGTTTCGTCGAGTGCGCTTGATAAAACAATAGCAGCTGGATATTTCATTGCAGTATACTGTAAACACATCTTTAAATCATTAAGGAAATTATTATATTAAACAAAGTAATGTAAAGTTTTATAATGGGTGAATATATTAACTTCCTTAGTTCAGGAATTTCGGCGAAAAATTCTTTAAAATTCATTCACACCACTCTTTTAAAATATATAAACTTACAAGCTAATTTTAAACTCGAGTAGTAAAATGTTACGTAATTAACTTTAGCATTATTAAAAATAGAAATTCTGGCGTTAATACAAACAAAATTATATTAATGATAATAATTTATAAATTCATTCACCTCGTTAGGTAAAGCGAGTAAATGAATGAAGGATGTTAAATTTTCATATGTTTGATTATTAAAGCGTGCCACAGAATTTTTTTCTTTAACGGGAATTTTTCACGTTTAAAACTTAAAAATAGTATTTGTTTATTATAATAAATGCAAACTTAAGCATATTTTCTAGGGCTTAGCGTAGCAATTTTGCAAAATTTATTTATAATTTGAAAGTTTCATATTAAAGTAGATGCAAATTCTCTGGTGTTCATTCAACAATTTATAAAGTGTAGGAGAAATTTGAAATTATTTTTAAGACAGATTAATTCCTAATTTAGATAAGTAATAGGCCGTAATTATGCTAGCAAAATTAATAATGTAAAGCGTTGCTAAATAGGATTAAAATTAGATAATTTAAAGTTTAGAACAAAGAGAATCAACCGTTCACTTCGATAAGATAATTAACTGGCATAGATTATCAATAATTTAAATTTGCAATTCAGATTTACTTCTAACCAAATTTGCTTTTATTGGGTCCAATTTTAGGATTTTGAATGCCTCAAAATCTCTCCAATTGAAGTATGATAATAAAAAATATCATACTTTAATAAATATACTATAAATTTAATCTGTTTAGGGATAAACTCGTCGGAAACTAACGTCGAGATTGAGGAATTTCCTCATTTTACTTTCATTTTTCATATGTTTACGTTATAAATTTTTTATGTATCGATCAATAAATATAAAATATGGATTCAGATATGATACAATTTATATATATTTATTAACAAGCGTGAAATATGATGTAAAAAGCAATTATTCACTTTATTCGGATAAAATTAAAATAATTTTTAATAATTTTAGAGGATAAGAGAGACAGATAAATGGTAAATGTATATATTAAGAGGACCTACAAGTTATATAATAGCATAAATATATGAATAGTGCAAGCTGTGCGGTCAGAAGATATTTTCTTCCCTATGATTGACACTTGTAGTAAGTTATTTTTTTGTATATGATGGGATTTAGTTGTATAGAAGATGACTGTCAAAAGAAAATGGATGTTGCTCGTGAATCTGTTGTGTAAATATCTCATGGGATAAGATTATATAATGAATATCAAATATTTACATGATTCCGATCAAATTTTATGAGAAGGACAAAAGTTGGATGAAGTTTTCCTGTTAAAAGTAGTAAAGAAACTTTCGATATGCAATGTTTAAACGAGTGAATCTGAAACAGTGTAATAAACAAAGGCTTGTTTATACAATAAGATCCTCTAGAAGCGAATAAAAGATACAGAAAAAAAATTAAATGTATTGAAAATTTCTTAATTAATTAGTTCCTTAATACGAAAATAATCATTTCGATTTCAGGCTTTTATAAGGCTTTTTCAGGCTTGATTTCGATGGCTTAAAAACTTTAGTTCTTGAAAGCTCCTTATAAACTTTACGAAATTCATTGCTATGAAATAATTAAATAATAATTTATATCAAAATATTTTGATTAAAACATTAGATCAGATATTTAATACAGATCTACAGCTGAAAAAGGTTTTTGCATTGTTGCAATTTTACTTCCTTGTAGACAAGTAAAGTAGCATCTCCAATAATGGCCATCTCCTCCGTTTCTTATGTTCCCATCAGTGGCCGTTATTCAGAGGTTTGACCTTATAAAAACTTAAGCAAGAATTTCAATAGAATTAATATGAAATATATTTTTCTCCTTAAAATTTTCTACTGTGAGTTACCACGACTTCGATTTTAACACGTGTTTAAATACTATCATGCTTACATAAACACTAATACAGTTGAGCCAGCAACCTATGTAAACGTATTAAGTACTGTACGTATTTAAAAAAAATGCTTATTAATTGATTTCTGCTCGACCAAAAACTATCAATTTATTCTTTATATAACTATATTTTAAACTATATTTAAATAAATCAATATTACAATAAAATTAACAATAGACTAATTACTGAAAGCGAAAACAATGTAACTTACTGCGGTGGAGAGAAGTATAAAGGTAATTTTCAATTCTGGCATTTATAGAAGAGATATATACGAGAGACAAAGGTGATGTATTTGACGGTTGGACAATTGTCTTGTCCAATAGATAATTGTCATCGAACACTCCCATTTACCTCGTGAACGAAGTACAGTACACGTTACGTTTTTTCGTAAATAGTCACAAATATTTACAAAGAGATAGTCATTAGTTGAGCTTATAGAAAAAAAAAATAAACTGTCCTTGAAGCGACTGGCAACAAGAAAATCATGTGATTGCAGCACTACTAGGTTATTACTGGTCATATGTGTGCTGCGAGCGATGAATCATCATCGAGTTTGACGTTCTTTCTGTTTCATTTTGTATTGTATATAGGCTACATTAAGCAATATTAATATTATTTTATAAAATTAAAATTAATATTTTAGCATATTTTACTATATAATGTTGCTCGGTTCATTATAAAACAATGTCTAATCGTTTCATATGTCACACATGAAATCTGATCGCGTATTAGATATTTTAATAGATAAAAATATGTTAATATAAACAATATTAATTTGATAATGATATAAAGTCTGTATTTAGTTATGTAATTTA